TCATTCACTTTCTCAAGACCCAGCAACTCCTCCCCCAACCTGACAAAATGTCCAATGATTCAACCATCTAAAATATGAAATGTAAATAAAGGCCCCCACTCCTAGGGACCTTACTAGGAACTGGATTTTAAATTCCAAACATGAAAAAGAGCACAGAGGTCCAAACAGAATCTTCAGAAGTTGAATCAGAAGCCATATTAGGAAAAGGACAAAAATGTTTTGAGTAGCAGCAGCCGAAGCTTGACAAATCTGAGTCCATAGCTCCGTAAGCCTTTTTATCTCTGGCTCAACTCTAGATTTTTACAACATCCCTCCAACAAACTTCAACTGCCAAAAAAAAAAGTTATAACCTTCAGAAATATTTGTTTCTCAAGACTCAAACTGCTTTAAATAAACATATATAGGCACCATCTTCCAAATACCCTTTTATCATGAGTCAAGCTAATCAGATATGCTAGTGCATACAGACACTAGTGCAAAAACTGCTCACACCTTCCCAGCCCCTTACCTAGACCCCTTTACAGCATCCTACCTGACTTTTCTCTATTTAAAGCAATATTGAGACCAGGCGCCTTCTTTCCTACCCCAACTCAAGTCTTCAGTTTGAGTAATACAGCTCTATGTGTACTTAAATTTGTCCATTTATATATATATATATATATATATTTTTTTTTTTTTTTTAAGATTTTATTTATTTGGAGGAGAGACAGAGAAAGCATGAGACAGCATGAATGGAGTGAGGGGCAGAGGGTGAAGCAGACTCCTTACTGAGCACGAAACCAGACCAGTAGGGGCTCTATCCTGGGATTCTGGGATCATGACCTTAGCGAAAGGCAGACACTTAGCCAACTGAGCCACCCAGGCGCCCCTGTCCATTTCTATTCACACCTTTTTTTAAGGTACTGGAAGACAGAGTATCAGAAGTATGTACAGATTCAAGCACCTACCACAATTTGAGAACCTACTATATGTCAAATAACTCTTTTAAGCTATTCACTTGTATATTCAAATTATTAATTTCATAAAGTTCAGAATACTACTTATTTTAAAAATTAAAAACATAAATTTGAAGACTGAAGAGTTAACTTGCCCACGTCTGTACCATGGGATAGCTAGAAATCGGACCTAAAATGCATACTAACTTGATTCAAGTGGTCAAAGGTGCAAAGAGCTCTGAGAAGCCCACACTCAGGCAGTTTTTAATCCCTGCCTGGCTACTTAAAACCATCCACCTTTCGGCGCCCAAGTTCACCCAAGGATTGGCAACACTGGCAGGAACCACCCTCCCAAAAGGAATAGCACCTATTTATTTTCCCTCTTCCAAATACCATCAAATCCACCCCCACCCAGAATCATGGGTGGTTCCAAGAAACAACTATGACTTCTCATCCCCCTTCTGTAACAGTAACAGCAATTAATCAGTAACAAACAAGCCTGTTAGCTCCTACAATCAGAGGGAGAATGCGCCCCTCTCCTTTGTAGGTAAGCTGTTAATAATGTTCTCCTAAAGAGATTATACGAGCTTTCAAGAAAGAAAAAACGAACTGTTACATGACTGGAAAAAAAAAATTTTTTTTATAACTTAAGTATTCACTCATATTCAAGATTTGAGTCATCTTGTTTTATGTACCCACGTTATTCTACCACTTCTTTTGAGGAATCTGTAATCATCAAAAGCAAAACATGAAACTATGCTCAAGGGTGCCTGTGTGGTTCAGTGGGTTAAAGCCTTTGCCTTCGGCTCATGATCCCAGAGTCCTGGGATCAAGTCCTGCATCGGGCTCTCTGCTTAGCAGGGACCCAGCTTCCACCTCCCTCTCTGCCTGTCTCTCTGCCTGCTTGTGACCTCTGTCAAATAAAATCTTAAAAAAAAAAAACCAAAAACTATGCTCAAATAGTTCATAGCTCATGAAAGATTTAAACAAAACACAGCCATTAAAAAAAAAAAAAAGTTCAAGTGTGCATAAATAAGGACCAAAGATCCACATTCTGCTGTGGGTTCCTGATCACAAGAAGAATCAGAGAGCTTTTTAGAAGTTATTTCTTTTAAATTACTAAGTGTCCTTCACTTTAAGTTAAGCTGTCCTTTCCTTCCAAATAACCTCACTTAATGAAACGGACCATTGCGATTCTGTCTGAATTGTAATTACAAGAGAAGCAGTTACAGTACACTTGTATCTTTGTCAATGAAATACTTATAATAAGGAAAAAAATCTGATTGAACTCTCCTTTGAGTAGCACCCAGTGCACCACCTAGTGGAAGTTGTGTAACATTGTAATTAAATTTTTTTAAAGGACAGAAACCCTAGGTAAGAATTACAAATGCTATAAAAACAGCCTAAATCTCTTTCCAGTTTCCCACACTGCAAGAGAGCTGTGTTCATAAGAGAGGACTCATTTCCTGTACAAACTAAAAGACTGATAAGGCTTTCTTAATGGAAATCCTTGGGCGCTAGACATTTTGACAAGAGAGTAAAAATAAAGTGAAGACATTAATGCAAAAACAAGTCCAAACAGATAGACAGGGGTTGTGTAAGTGATGATGCCTTATATCCTACAAGAATAAGTTATATCAAAATGGACATGTTATAGGCAACAGATGCATCTGCCATGAAAACGACTTCATGATTAGAACAGTTCCATTCAGTAATTCATAAGACATTTCCATATTCCTAGTGAGTAATAAGTTTAACATAACCTAGCAGTTCTCCAGCATTCCCCAAGCCCTGACACCATTCGATGAGGTTCCTCCCAACTATCGATCTAAGCCTGCTCCGCATTAACCTCCAAACTCCCTTGCTTGCACTGTTCTGAGGAATAAATGCTTTTTACATTTTCAGCTTTTCTACTAAATTTACACTTAACTTTTCCCAAAAGGTCCTAAGTCATTACCAGAATATTCAAGCTTCATTTTTATTTGCCTTATGTGTAGAAATTTCAGTTCAACTCAGAAAACAGCACTGAAATCCACTGCAAAGCTACAGATGCAAACAGAGATAAGCTAGGGTTCTCTAATTTGGAAAACCTCCCAAAATTTAAAACAGAGATTTTCATATAGCACCACTAGGAATTTGTTTGTTTTCCCTGTGTGAAAAATTACCTTTCTGGTGTGATTCAAACTACGTCAGCAACCTCGAGGAGGGGAAAAAAAAAAAAAAAAAAAAAAACCTAAGAGACACTATTTCTTTATTTAGAAAACACCATCTCCATCTGTGATTCTTGTACCACGTGATCAAACTGATATACAGAAGCTTACTTGATGGTGGGAACCTCAGTAGATCCTGGATTAAATCCATTTCGGGTACAGAATAAAGTAGGAGTCAGGTCACCTGGGGCAGAATTCTCATCACCTCTAGGGCTTTCACTTCATGGACTTGTAGAGTAGACATGATTATGTACTACCTGCCTCCCAATAGAAGGATTAAAAAAATTGACAGCCTATGAGAGTCTCAATTAAAAGACCTAAATGGAAATACAGACATCCCCCGTTTTTCACCAGTCCACGTTACACTACTTTGCTTTTACGACAGACCTTAGTATCTGGTTTCACTAACTGGGAGAAACGCACAGAGGTGTTTGTTCTCCATCAGCTGGAGAAGCAGCACACACCTGAACAGCAAGAGTGGCAGAGCCAAGCTCCTTCCCTGAGAACTCAGCTCAGCGTCTCAGCATCGAGCCCCGGCAGCTCTGACCTCTGTCTGAGCATCTGTGCTGTATCCTGACTTATTTTATACATTCATTAGCAAAATGTATATCCTAAGGTATCAGGAAAGCCTAAGGGGTAGGGGGGTGCTGGAACACTAAAAACATTTCCCATACACATTAATAGTGGTTTTTTTTTGTTTTTTGGGGTTTTTTGCTTTGCAGTACTCCGGTTTAGTAAAGATTTCATAGGAACGCTCTGTTTTCAGACAGCAGGGAAAACCTGTACTGGTTAGAACTGGAGTGCTCCTAGAAGGGGAGAACACTGCTCCAAGAGTTCTCACTGTGCCATTACCGCCCCAAACCCAGTGACCTTCACCATTTCACTTGTTAACAAACCGTGAATGAAAACAAAGGTTATTAAGCTAGTCAAAGAGAAAGTAGTAATAATTCAAGGTGCAAATCAGGAATTAATTGCCTGGCTTGTCTACAAAGGATTGCCTCCTGAGTACAAAACAGGTGCATTCCCAAAACCTAAAACCCAGAAATTGTTTTTAGAGAAGCGTTTCTTTATTTGAATGCTAATGTTTAAAAAAAATTAGAAGGAAGAAAAAAAAAAATCACAATTCTACTCCCACCCTTGACAGAGTGACAGAAACAAGGTTCCACCCCCACAATCCTTTCAAACCTGCGCAGGCATTCCTCATCAACATTCCTCCCCCTCACTGCTATCTCACCTTCCCCACTTCAGTCCAGACAAAGGTGAGTCACACTGCTGGGTCTACTTGTCACTGAAGGAAAAGTCCCCAAACAAGTTCACGTTAAAGACTACTCTTAATTTAAAAAATAATAAATAATAGGTAAACAGTGTTAATGTGTAAATGATACTGCAATGCGCCTGCCTCCAGCAAATATGTAATTAACAATACCCAAGACACCTTTCTGGCTTTAAAAAAAAAAAAAAAAAACCACTCAGCTTATCCTCACTTATCAGTAGGTCCCTTTCCCTCGCGAGCCTGACTCTGACTCAACTCCGCAGTTTTCCTCCACCTGCACGTCCTAGCGCCCTCCATTGGGCCCAGCCGCCTCACTCGGAGTCCCCAGGGGGTCCCGCCGGCAGCTGCCCGCACCCCTCCCCCTCGCGGTCCCCCGCCCGGCCCCGCCCCCACCTCCCCGCAAGGTGTCGCCGCCGCCGCCGCGGGCTCCCGGGCGGAGGCGCCTTGAGGCGGGCGGGAGGCTCCGGTGACGCGGCCCGGCTTGGCCCGGCAGCCGCCTGCGGGTGCAGTCGGGGGAGCAGACCCCACCGCCCGCGCCGCACCGGTGCTCCGATAGGGGCTGCAGCTACGGCACCCCATTACCTGCTCTGAGCAGCCGTGGCCCGCGGGAGGCGCGACCGCTCTCGTCCCTGCAACCCCGGGTCGGGAGGCAAAGAGACAGAGACCGCAGCCGCCGCAAAGGACAATCAGGAGCCAGCGGGCTCGGCACCGCCTCGGCGGGCGCAGAACACACGAGCCCAGCGGGAGCCCGGCCCCCACCTCCTGCCCAGTAAGTAACCGACTTGGCCCCTTCCTCGGCGGGGCGGGGTCACGGCTGAAGGGGCGGGGAGGGGCAGGGCCGCACCGCCCACGGGGCGGGAGCTCCGCGGACGCTTCGTAAAAGGCGTGTGCTGATGGGCTGCGACAGAGGTAGGCGTCCCGGACTTGAAGGGAGCCTCGCCGGCAGAGCTTCCTCATTGGTCGGTAAGAGAAAACAAAGCGGAACTCTGATTGGTGAGAACTCTGTAGCTCCTCTCCCTCGGCCTTCAATCAACGGAAGCTCCGCCCCACACGCTCTGTTCCCAGGTGGCTGCAGAATGGGCAGCTTTATGGACCTGAAACCTCTCTGAAGCGCAAAACCTGTGATAGGTTTCCTTGCCAGATGCGAGCGATTCTTTCATTCCCGGATGAACTTGATGAATAACAGCTAATCTTTAATATCGCTTGGCTTGAGGGAGGTCTCCTGGGTATTTTTTAAATGCGGCATAAAATTCAGAGGGAAATTGTCCTGTGCAAAGAAAAGACATAAAATGTTTTCGGTCTTGGCAAAATTATGCGTAACTTTCTTTTCGTTTTACCTGTGTTCCATATGGGACATGCATTACTTAGAGTGCACCACGCGGTAATAGATTTATAGGAAAACTCCCGGACAGGAAGAATTTAGAATCCGAAGAACAAAATAAAGCATTAACAAAAGCCAAAACCAAAAAAGGTAGTATATGGAAAGAAATTCAGAGGGTACAAATTGGAAAACTCAACTAATGCAGGGAATTATAAGAAGAGAATGTGACAAAATTCCAAGATGTAACTTAGACTTTGGAAATTGAAAGTTGAGGGAGCAGAAGATAATGATCAATGACCCATGGTTAGGTAAGCTGAGCTCTCAGACCGCAAGGCAAGCCCCGTGTTATCCTAGCCAGTTTAGAAGGGAGTGAAGCGTAACTCACCTGGGGACCACAATCCTTTAACTCTCTGGCTGCCTTACTATTCTGTTTGCTGTTCCTGCCATTCCCATGAGGTTTTGAAATAGACTGTTGGAAATAAAGCCCTTCCTCCAACAACTCCATAAATTATATAGGAGTGGGAAAAAAATGGAAATTGACAAAAATCGTACCTAAAGAAGGAAAAGAATATTAAGGTAAACATCAACTTGAAAAGGACAAGAAACTCAATACAAAGAATAGCGCAAATCCTCTTTTGTCTCTTTTTTTCCTGAGAATAAGGTAAAACTCTTTGAAGGACAGTGACCTCATTATCTAATACTTTTTTAAAAAGATTTTATTTATTTATTTATTTATTTATTTATTTGTCAGAGAGAGAGTGGGGGAGAGCATAAGCAGGCAGAGTGGCAGGCAGAGGCAGAGAGAGAAGCAGGTTCCTCACTGAGCAAGGAGCCCAATGTGTGGCTCTGTCCCAGGACTCTGGGATCATGACCTGAGCTGAAGGCAGTGGCTTTATAGACTGAGCCACCCAGGCATCCCTATCTAACACATTTTTTATAGAACCTTTGTAATAAATGGAATCCTAAATGATAGTCTGAAAATATGTGTCACAGTGTACTCTGAGCAAGTAACTTAGTGTTAAGATCTAATTATGCTTAAATATGTAAGAAAAAAATAAGAACTTAACACTGTCCACTATGAACAAATTGGAAAGAAAACACTCCAGATTTTTTTCCCAATCGTGCCTAAAATTCCGCCACTAACATTCTTTCTTTAGGATTGAGTGATTTATATCAAAAGTTATTCTTGTATTCATTTATGCAACAAATGTATAATAACATTAATCATCATATTCTAGTTCCTTCAATGAACTAGGCACTCTACTAAGTATTGTCCTGAACAAGGCAGACTGGAAGCTATTTATCCATAAAAGAAAGATAATGAACCAGCAAACGAACACATTTACAGAAAAGAATAAAGGCAGAGAAAAAAAAGAGTGACTGAAGGGATGGAAGCACTACTTGAATTTGGAAAGGGAAAGAGAACTACTCTGGGGTGCCACTTAAATAAAAAAACGGTAGCTATGCACACTCGAGGGCAGTGACATTCCTAGCAAACAGGAAGAGCGAAGGCCCTAAAGGAGGAAGAGAAGTGATGTCATAGGAACAGAGAAGACCTTTTTCAGAGTCACCAAAGAAGTGGGCCTTCATCCACCAAGCCAGTCTATCAGGCATAGATCTAGGAAACCAGCTAGTTTCAAGGGTTCCATTAGATATGGAGGTCTAATAATGAGAATGACATGGACCCAGTTGGATTTACAAACTGCTACCTCACAGAGGATGGGGAAATCAAGGTGCTAGAGGGAACACAATCCAGAAGGGGTCAAGGAGATCATCCCGAAGGAAGTGAGGAGTCACCGAATCGGTAGTAGTCACCCCACTGAAAGGCTACAAGGTTCTAGATCCAGGGAGCAACAAATGGAGGAACCTGGGACCACAGTCGGGTAGAAGGAAATCTAATGTAAAGCTTTAGAGACCACTGCATTTAAAAAAAAAAAAAAAAAAAAACTTTCCCCACATCGCAAGATTGCCTAGCATGGATGAGCCCAGAATGTGGAAACAAAAATCCAATGAGAAACCACATTCTGAAAGCATCAGAGTCGAGCAACGTAGAAGCAACACACTGATCATTTCACATCATCCTCACCTTCGTCTCTTAAACAAAAGTAATTAAGTAGAGTGCACAGCCCCCTTTGAACTATGACATTCCTTTTGGGAGTGTAATGAGTTAACAGTATTAATCCTATTTGGCCAGAATTAGGACAGAGCTGAAGCCCTTGGAGTTAGAGCTCTGTTCTACTAGTTCCGGCCTCTCCCCCTGCTTCTGGGCACGGCTTTCTCCTTACAGGTTGAACTCACACCATCCACAGATGCCTATAGGAAGAGAGAGCCAGCCCCACTGTGGAGGGCCGGGGGAAACTCGGGGGAACTGCAAAGTGTCTCGGTGGCAGCTGGCAGTGGCGGGTGAATCACAAGATGTGGCAACTAAACAAATTACAAAGTAAATAAAAATGTAACTATTGAAATATACGGCACCATGCTTCAAAGCCACTGAAAAGTAATCTCTGTGTCCTAATAATAGAATTCAAAAATCAGGGTCTTTTTTTTTTAAAGATTTTATTTATTTATTTGACAGAGAGAGAGAGAGAGAACACAAGCAAGGGGAACGGGAGAGGGAGAAGCAGGCTCTCCCCTGGGTAGGGAGCCTGGTGTGGGGTTGGATCCCAGGGCCCCAAGATCATGACCTGAGCCAGAGGCAGACGCTTAACTGACTGAGCCACACAGGCTCCCCTCAAAAATCGGTTCTAAAGACAGAGGGGTAACTTCAAGAATCCAAGGGCAGAAAGAAGTCAGTCCCCAAGAGGGCCAGGAGCTGGGGCCTGAGAGACGAGAACTCGGCTACAGTTTCCTCCATCTCCAAACCTGCCTCTCTCTACTCTCCTGTTCTTCCCTGGAAAACAGCCTTCCTGGCTCCTAAGTCCAAGAGTCAAAATATAGCCACCCCAGTGCCCCCCCATTCCTGACTAAATTAACCACCTTGGCCCAGTCCCAAATTCTAAGGAGAGAGTAAGAGTGGCCTTGCCTGGCCTCTCCCCGCTCTATCCCACCCCCTGTGATGAGGGAGGTGATGGGAGTGGGGAGGGTGGAGGCCGACAACATGGCTACCGGGGCTCATCTCTGTTCACAGGCAGAGATTTCCCAGAGAACAGGCTCTGGACAGATTGCCAGAGAGGCTCGCATCCTGCCCCACCACGTTTTCTGTAGTCAGGCAGCGGGGCTCCATTTTCTGTTCAGTGACAGTCTTTGCCTGGCCTTTCACGTGAACATGGAGGCCCAATGGCCAAGGCCGAAATCTTCAACAGTGACTGCCAGCTCTCTTGGCATCCCTTTACTTCAGCTGGTTTCCAGACACCAAGTCCCCTCGTCTCTTCCAGTTTCAAGCTGCCATTCCCATTTAAGTCTTCTAATCCCCATTTTCCCTGTGTGACGTATACCTGTTGACACAGATTTCTTCAAAGAGCTGAAGTACTGGCCAAGTTGGTGATTCTCTGTGACACCTGCACACAGAGCAAGCGGGGTGGCGGAAACAGAAAGCAAACCTCCACCTACCACTGTCCCTCCCATACCTATTCAGATGAAAATGTCCCATAACTTTTCTGATGGCTTTTAGGTAATAAAAAAACCCTTTGATCAGTCAAGCCATAAAATACGGTTTGAAGTTTTTTTTTTTTTTTTTAAGATTTTATTTATTTCACGCAGAGAGAGATCACAAGTAGGCAGAGAGGTGGGCAAGGGGTGGGGGAGCAGGCTCCCTGCTGAGCAGAGAGCCCGGTCCATCCCAGGACCCTGGGATCACGACCTGAGCCAAAGGCAGACGTTTAACCGCTGAGCCACCCCGGCGGCCCTCTTGGGTGCTTCCTAACCATCTCAACCAGAGCATCTCACCCTGCCTCTCCTGTCCTGGTCTATACAGCTTGCTCTGGCTGCTACTTCCTCCCTTGGGGAACTTCCTACAAATTCACCTATAGATCGCCTCTCCAGGAATAAATCCTCTGGGACAGGATTTATATGTCTGCAGCACAGCTCGCTCTCACCAAATGGCTCTCTTCGGGTCCTCAAGAACCTTCGCACATCCTCCGCTCCCCTCGATACTCAAACACACCTGACTCTCAGAGAACATGGATCTTGAGGATTCTCTCTCCTCCTTCCCTGCTCACTCGCTCACTCTCTCTCTCTCTCTGAATACCTTCAGCCTCTCACTCTTAGATACCGCAGTCCCAAGTCAGATACTCTGAGAACCAGAGAACACCAATCAAGTGGCCTGGAGGCCCCCTGCTGCCCCTCCCCGACCAGATTAAGGAGGAAGACCTTGGACCAGAGTTTGGTGGAACTCGGCCTTGCTTTCTTTGAA